AGCATTTCAAGTCTTCCTCACTTTCAGCAAGATTGTATCATCTGCATGATGTAAGTTATTGATGAGTCTTCCTCTGATCTTGATGTCACATTCTTCTCCTTGAAGTCTGGTTTCTCATATGATTTTCTTTTCTGCATACACAGATTGAATAGATATGGAGAAAGGCTACAGCCTTAGTCACACTTCTCTGAATTTTAAACTATACAGTGTTCCCATGCTCTGTTCAGACAACAACTTCTAGGACTAGGTATGGATTTCACATGAACACAATTAAGTATTCTGGGATGCCCGTTCTTCTCAGTGTTGACCATAATTTGTTGTGATCCATACAGTCAAATGGCTTTGCAGAGTCAATAAAGAAGACATAGACATTCCTCTTGATATTCTCTGCTTTCCCTCAAGATCCATCTGACACACCACAACAAGATAAAGGTAAATAATCCAATAGAAAAATGGGCACAGGATATGAATAGACACTTCACCAAAGAAGACATTCAGATGGCTAACAAGCACATGAAGAAATGTTCAAAATCCCTGGCTCTAAGAGAGATGCATATTAAAACAACTATGAGATACCATGTCACCCCAGTCAGAATTGCAAAATTTAACAGAACAGCAAGCAACAAATGCTGGCAAAATTGTGGAGAAACTGGAACCCTTATTCACTGTTGGTGGAAGTGTAAAATGGTGCAATCACTGCGGAAGGCGGTATGGCGCGTTCTCAAAACGTTGCAAATAGAGATATCATTTGACCCAGTAATTCCACTACTGGGAATGTACCCCAAAGAGACCATAACTGACATCCAAGTAGATATATGCACACCCATATATCTATGTTTATTGCGTCTTTGTTCACAATAGCAAGGAGTTGGAAACAACCTAAGTGCCCATCAATAAACAAACGAATATAGAAGCTGTGGTATATTCACACAATGGAATACTATGCTGCATTGGAAAAACAAGGAACTCATGCAATATTATTCAAAATGGGTGACTCTGGAGGACATTATGCTGAGTGAAGTATCCCAGTCACAAAAGGACAAATACTACATAGTGCCACTGTTGTAAAACAGGACTGACATCAGGGCTGGGGGGAGACAGAGAAAGATGGGTTCAACAATGTATACTGCATTGAAACAGATGAGGCAGAAAACTGTTTAAAAGGGATATGTGATTAGGTATTTTTGTCATGACAGGAGTCCAGAGCGAAGGCTGCATGGTGGAGTGGACCTGGGGAGAGGGATTGTAAAACAATGAAAGAATTTTTCTTTTACTTTTCCAGGTAGGGGGGAGGGTTGGGAGGGGAGAAAAGTGCAACAATGAATGAATGGAAATCCAAAGTCTCTGTAAATTTTTACTGAAATTAATAATAAATTTAAATTTTTTTAAAAAAGATCCATCTGACATCAGCAGTATGTGCCTGGTTCCATAGCCTCTTCAAAATCCAGCTTGAATCCCAGAGGTACGCGGTTCAAATCCACCAGATGCTCTGCTGGAGAAGAAAGGACAATCTCCAGTCAGATCTGATTTGACGGTACACATAAAAATAATACATTAAATAATACATTTAAAAAAAATCCAGCTTGATTTCTGGCAGTTGTCTGCCCACAGACTGTTCTAGGAGGGCTTTTCAATGCTAACTCTTAGACACACCCCATTCCTGACCCTTCCAGCAGTTCTCCCTCCTCCAGCGGACTGGCTGGATCCTGAAGCCTTAGTTCTCAGGTTACAGTCTGGAGGAAATCCCCTCTGAGGTTAGGGGGTTCTCCCCTGGACTCCCATAAACCCTGTGTAGCTCTTTCCCCCACCCCCACCCCGTTCTGCTACTTCAGACTCCTGCACTGGGCCATGTGGATCTCAAGGGTGCCTGCGGCTTAACTAGTGTCCTTGGGGTACATGGCAATAGGTGCCTAATAAAGCATTAGGCAAATAAGTGCTGTTCCATTTGTTTACCACATTCAATCTAGGCTTCCTGGCAAAGGGCCAACATGCAAACCAACTTGAATAGTCAAACTGGACTAAGAGATGACACACACAGCTGCTTGTGGTGATGGCATCTGAAAGGGAAACTGGGGTGGGGGGAGGAAAGTACGAGAGACAAGGGCTGAGAGATACCCATTTGTCATCCTATTTATCCTTTTGTAGCTTGGGGATTTTTTCTTTACCAGATGTGTGAATTTCCTCCGAAGACATCAAATAAATGAATCAAATTCGACAACATAATGACTTTCCAATGCTAAATAAAGTCTGTAGCATTTCCTTTTCTCTTTTCTTTTATTGTGGTTTGGGTGAGAGTATATTACAAGGCAAATTAGTTTCCCATTCAATAATTTATACACATTTTGTAACATGAGTTGCAATTCCTGTAACTATGTTCAACATACACCCATAGCAATATGAAGGCTTTGCAAAAATGCACATAAAAAGTGACACACATAAGGAAAAAAGAAACTAATGCATTTACCACAACAGCATTCAAATTCTCTAGGTTCTGTCCAGCATCCCTGCCTGAGCCCTTAACTGCTTTGATGCTAAAAAATTGTCCTTCAATAACAATAATAGTTTGTGGTTATGTGCTGTTGAGTTGCCTCGACTCATAGTGCTACCCGATGTACAACAGCTTTGAAGCCTTCCCTGTCCTGGGCCAGTCTCACTGACTCTGACACACCTACCCCCTTGGCCCCAGTTACTGTATCAATCCATCTCATTTGGGGTCTTCCTCTCCTGTACTGTCCTTCCACCCTTTTGAGCATGATGTCCTTCTCCATATTCCTCCTCACCACATGCTCAAAGTATGTGAGACAAAGCTTCAAAATCCTAGCCTCTAAGGAGAAACTTGGTTTCATCCTCTCCAGGACAGACCTTTATTCCCCCTTGATGGTCCATGTTATATTCGAGATTCTTCTCCAGCACCACAACTCCAAGGCATCAATTCTTCTGTCATTATTAGTCATTGTCCAGCTCTCTGATACAGAGCAAGTAATTGCGAAGACCATAGCCTGAGTGAGGTGCACCTTAGTCTCTAGACTGACATCGATGCTTCTCAGTACTCTGGAGAGGTCCCTGACAGCAGATTTACCCAGTGCAATTTGTCTTTTGATTTCATGACTGCTGGTTCCAAGAGTGTTGACTGTGGAGCCGAGCAAACTGTACTTATTAACAATCTCAGGCTCTTCTCCATCCAACATAGGCTGATACAAAGGATGGTGGTGGTGTTAGATGCCTTGCAGCTGGTTCCAGTTTATAGTGACCCTGTGTACAACAGAAAACGCTGCCTGGTCCCATGTCCTGCCGGCTATCTTTGAGCCACCTTGTCATTCAATCTCATTGAGGGTCTTCTTCATGGTGTCCTCTGCTGGTCCCTACTGATAACATCTAAATTAGGTGTGACAAGTCTCGCCATCTCCTCTTCTAAGGACCAATCTGGATACAAGTCTTTCACTTTGGTCTCACCACGTGCCAGGCACAGCACATTTTGTCTCCCTCATTTCACTAAGTGACAACTTCCTCATTCTTCAGACAAGGTTGAGGGGATTGCCCCAGAACTCCTGGGCTGTGCTGGCCGCCAGGACGCAACCCGGGCCCACAGGCTGCTCTGGGTTCGTGGGCGCCCTCTGAAGGTCATATCGAGAACCTGAAGAAGCCCAGGCTGAACTTGGGTTTTCTGCTTGGGAGAGTGAGACAGGAGGTTCGGTGGGTCCCAGTCAAGCTGTCCTTGGAGATCTTTGGGAGGCCTGAAGCACCACAAGTCTCTGAGTTAGGAGAGAACACGGAGCTAAATCGAGGAGCTTGAGATTGACGTAACTGTGCTCAGGAAGATCTGTGAATGGACCTGCCCTAAAAGGCAGGGGACACAGCACTACCCCAGGATCTGTGGTTTACAAGGATCTGCCTTAAGTGGTTTGAAGAAGAGGACACAATTCCGCCTTAGCAGGTGAGGGGCACTTGGCCTGCCTTGCAGCATCTGAAGGGGGCCTGGCTGGGGACGCTACATACAGACGATGGCAACCTCTGACGGCTCTAAAAGGAACTCTCCAGCCTGGATTGTTAATTACAAAAGAGACAGAGCCAAATCTATAAAGCGCTCAAAAGGTCCAATCCACCGGCAGTTCAGTGGGAAGAAAAAAAAAATTACAGTGGTTTGCTTCCCTAAAGATGTTATAGGCTGGAAAATCCTAAAGTGCAGTCCTATCTTGTCTTGGAAAAGGTGTAGAGTGCTCCTTAGAGGCAGGGATAGCGAAGCTTCATGTCACATACTTTGTGCATAGAGGCTATTCCTTGGAGAAGCACATCACGCTTGGAAAGGTGGAGGGACAGCGAAGGAGAGGAAGACCCTCAACCAGGTGGATTGACACAATGACTGCAGCAATGGACAGAATGTGTCAGAAACTGTGAGGCTAGCGCTGGATCGGACGCAGAGTTCAGATCTGGTGTTTATAGGATCGCTATGAGTCGCACTCGACTCGACGGCACCTAACAACAACTTTGTCCTATAGAGTCTCCATGAGTGAGAAGGGACAGGTTAATTTTCTTTTTGTTTTAATCCCAATTCCAAACACTTTGCTGCAGAGAAAAAGTAGCCAAATTGGACGCTCATTGGTTTCAAGCGGCGGGACTCGGAGGGCGCGGCCAGCATGAAAAGCCTACCGGTTATTGGCTGTATTCTCCTAAGTGCCCGCCTCCGCTCCATCTTTCCGAACTTAAATTTAATGCTGATTGGCTGAATAAAGACCCGCCCTTGAGTACGAAGATATCTTTGAGGCCAACAGCAGGTGGGCGAGGCCTACGGAGGGGGCGGGACTTGTCCTTTAGTTCTCCAGTGAAACTGGCGTCTGAGGAAAGGAGGGCGGGGTCTCGCAAGGCCGGACCTTGCTGCCCTCGCTCTTGCGCGCCAAGCAGCCAACATCGTAACCTAGCGTCGCGTGCGTGACGTCATCGCGCCGCGCCGCGCGTCTCCCGAGGGAACCTGACCTCTTGTGGCCGGAGAGGCGGCCTCCGCGATGCTGTTGCTGGTCAGGGCCGGTGCGCTGGCATGGGCACGACCCGCCTGCAGCCGCGTGCGAGCGGGTGCCGGAGGTGAGGTCGGAGGGCAAAGATCAGGGGTCCCAGGGACACCCCTCACACTCGCGCGCCGCTTACAAGGCCTGAACTCACGGGCGGAAGAGGCAACCCCGCCGCCTGTAGTGGAGCCGGTACTGGTGGCGAGCGCAGGTAAGGCTGTCAGGATCGCCCGAGGAAGGGCAGCAAGCGGGGAGCGCTGATCATTGACCCTCACCTCTGACCTCCGGATCGCTCTAGGTCACCCGGCGCCCGTGCTGCGCAAGTGCGAGCTCCCAGTACCCGCGAACCAGCGTCCGGTGCAGGCCTGGGTGGAGTCCCTGCGAGGCTTCGACCAGGAGCGTGTGGGGCTAGCAGATCTGCACCCTGACGTCTTCGCCACGGCGCCCAGGTGAGCGCGCATTGGGTGCAGGTGGCTGGAACGGTGCACTGTGTGGCAGGGCAGTGGGGATGACTTGAAAAGGTCTCAGTCTATAGAGATTCAATTTCCCCACCTGTCAAAGAGGGGTCATGATGGTGACCTTACACTGTAGGTTGAGGTTTGAGAGCTAACATCTTCTAGGGGTCCAGGGCTCAGAATTCTGAAGCCTGACATGTTGCGTGCTGTATGTGGCTTCCAACTCACAGCACCCCTGTAGGACAGAGTAGAACTATGAGAAGTTGGAACTGACTCATCGCTGAGCCTCCGGCTGACTTTCAGAGGCTGTAGATTGCAGGTAAGAGATTTCCCTTCTTAGGGAGCTCTGGTGGCCTAGTGGCAAGAAGCTGCACTGCAATCCCAGAGGTGCGTGGTTCAAATCCACCAGATGCTCTGCTGGAGAAGGAGGGGCAATCTCCTCCTGTACCAGTCACATCCTGTTTGATGGTACACACACACACACACACACACACACACACACACACACACACACAAAATAATAAAAAAGAGATTGCCCATCTTTTCCCTCAGAGCAGCTGGTGGATTTAAACAGCCATAGTCTTTGGTTAGAGCAGCCCTCTAAGGACTACACCATTAGGGTTCTCTCGGTCCTCTGGAGTCGCTGTGGATTGGAATCCACCCCGCAGCATAGAAACAACCACCACCTGCTGGGGACCCACCACCAGGTGTTTCTACCTGTGGAACAGCTGGTGGATTTCAACCACCAACTTCTGTTAGTCACCTGTGCTTGACCATTGCCCAGGGCTACTTTAATGCCCCACCTGTTGTTGTGTACTGTGGAGTCTGAACCTCAGAGTCAGTAAATGACAAGAAGAAGATTGCCCATTTTTCTCCCATGAAGCAGCTGGTAGGTTCGAACCACGTGCCATTGGGTTGACAGTGCAGCTCCTGACCACTAGGCCACCAGAGCACCCTCGCCTCTGAATTAAAATCCTGCCTTCCTTTATGTTTCAGTGCCCCATTCCCAGGAGTTCACTATGGTGATTGAATTAGTTCATTCCATTATATAAATTCTATGAGTGTTGGTTGTCCTTACTTTTATCTTTTTTTTCTTTAAATAATATAACAAACAGTGATTAAAGGTTCCTCACTCACTTACTGCTTTTGGGTCAGAACTGGCCTGTATCTGACCATCCAGTGGGCTCTCAGTGGCTGTAAATCGGTTGGGAGGAAACTGCCGATCATTTCTCCCGCAGAGCCACAAGTGAATTTGAACCTTCAGAGAGGTGCTTGCCTTTGGGTTAGGAGAGAAGCTTGATCCAGTGTGTCCCACCAGAGCTTCCTAAAAGTTCCTGGATGGACGAGCAGTGCCCTCCACTGCTAACCCAGGCGGGAGCTTTGGTGGCGGAGTCATAGAGAATGCGCTGCTAATCCGCAGCTGGGCCACTCTGGGAGCTTAAATCCACCAGTGACTCAGGGACAACGAAGATGGGAAATGGGGCAGCTCTGGTGGCCTAGTGGAAAAAAGCTGCGCTGCAATCCTGGAGGTGCGTGGTTTGAATCCACTGGATGTTCCGCTGAAGAAGGAGGGGAAGTTTCCTCCAGTGCCAGTCAGATCTGATAAGAAAAAAAACCCCAGAAGATGGGAAATCAATTTTCTGTGGGATTTACTGTCTTAGAAACCCCATGGAGGGTCAACTGTGATTCAGTTCTAACTTGATGGTATTGAGAAAGCGAACCATTGGTGGTTCAGACCCACACAGTGGAAAACCTTGCCTGGCGGTCAGCTTCGCCTAAGAGTACAGCCAAGGAAACCTCATGGAGCAGCAGTTCTGTACCGTGACAGTCAGAATGTCCTGGATGACTGAGCGTGTCTACCTGTTGGGTGGTGGGGAGTGACTCCATAGGACAGAATGGTCCTGCCCCTGGGGCTCCCAAGGCCATGGTCTTCACAGAAGCAGACTGTCTCAGCTTTCTACCTCAGAAGAAGGATAGAACTTATCCAGTACTGAGTTTACTTTTCAGGTTGACTCCCAACCCACTTCTTTTCCAAGAAGGCACTTGCCTCTCACCTAGCCCTATCGATCTCTAGAGCATCTTGGAGACCCGGTGTGTGAGCAATTCCGCATCTCCTGTCGTTGGGCAGAATTTCTTGGGAGCACGAGTTCCCGCCTAAAAGGGCAGCCACCTCCTTTTTCTCTTCCTCCTCTCAGCCTGTGGGCGTGGCCCACATTGAAAAAGGCTCCCGCTTCCACTGGGGAAAGGCATCCTGCGGAATGTCATCTGGCACACAGATGCTCACAAAAAGATTCATGAACAATCAGATATGTGGAAAATAGGAGAACTAGGGAAACAGACGGAAGGTGCTTACTGGGGATCCAAAGGCAAAAAATTAGCTCGCGTTCAAGCTGGATGTGCAGCCTGTTTACATTGCAGTTACATTTCCTTCCAGAAAGAATTCTTTTATTCTTGTTTTGCAAATAAAGAATTGTTGTTGTTGCTAGATGCCATTCACTCACGTATGTCTCATAATGACCCTATAAACAACAGATCTGAACCTTGTCCTCTGCCACCTTCATCATCTGACACACTTGAGTCCATTGCTGCAGTCACCGTGTCAGTCTCTCACTTAGGGTCTTCTCTTTCACTGACCCTCCACTTTTCCAAGCATGAGTTCCCTTTTCCAAGAAACAGCCTCTCTGTGAGATAAAACTCTTGTGAGATAAAGTTTCCCCATCCTTGCCTCCAAGGAGCATTCTGACGACACTTTTTCCAAATCATATCTGTTCTTTTGTCAGTCCATGGAATGTTCGCTACTCTCCAACACCACAACTCAAGGGTATCAATTCTTCTGTCATCTGTATCCATTGTTCACCTCTCAGATACACAGCAAGTGATTGAAAGGACCATGGTCTAAGTCAGTCATATCTTCGTCTTCAGACTGACATCATTGCTTCTCAGTAATTTGGAGAGGTCCCTGACGGCACACTTGTCCAATGCAGTATGCCTCCTGATCTCTTGCCTGCTGGTACCAAGGGAGTTGATAGTGGACCCACAATCAGCAGTAAAATCTTTTGACAATTCCAGTCTTCTCCATATGTTGTGATGCTGCTTATTGGTCCAGTGGTGAGAATTTTTGTTTTCTTGATACTGAGATACAATCCATATTTAAGGCTGCAGTCTTTGATCTTTTGCAGCCAGTGCTTGAAGTCCTCCTCACTTTTCAGCAAGCAAGGTTGTAGCGTCTGCATAACGCAGGTCGTTGGTGAGTCTTCCTCCAATCCTGATGCCGTATTCTTCATAGAGTCCAGTTTCCTGAATGATTTGTTCAGCATATAGATTGACTAGGTATCTGGAGATCCGAAGACAAAAATTAGCATGCTTTTTCTGTCAAGGACCAGATTATACACATTTTAGACTTTGCAGGCCATGATGTCACTGTCACAGCTGCTCATTTCTGCTGCTAGCAAGGCAGAAGCAGCCATAAAAACAAGCAAACAACCAGTATGTCACAGCCAACATAATGAACCGGCCTGGTTTTATCACCAATAAAACCTTATCATGGGCGTGGCTTACTCTATTGGTAGCTGTGCCTGGTGGGACTATATCACGTGCTTCATTTTAAACTTTCTAGTGGCCACGTTTATCTTTTTATTGTGATTTAAGTGAACATATGCAAAGCAAATTGATCTTTCATTCATCTATTCACCTTCCCTTTTTAAATTTTTTTTATTTTATTATTTTTGTGTGAGTGTACCATCAAATCAGATCTGACTGGTACAGGAGGAGATTGTCCCTTCTTCCCCGGCAAAGCATCTGGTGGATTCGAACCGGCAAAGCATCTGGTGGATTCGAACCGTGCACCTCTGGGATTGTAGTTGCAGCTCCTTACCACTAGGCCACCAGAGCTCCCCTTCACCTTCCCTTTTTTTAATAACATTAATCTGTCTCCGCAATATTACACTCTTGCCAACTCCTCCAAGTGATTCTTGTTTCCATTAATCCTATTAAACTGCCACTTGTGCAGTCTGGGTTTAGAAGAGGCCGTGGTACTAGGGATATTACAGCTACCATTGTAGCTGGATCTTGGCGGAAAGCAGGGAGTACCAGAGCAATGTCTGTGTTTCATTGACTATGTACAGTCATTTGACTGTGTGGATCACAACAAACTGTGGCTGACTCTGAGAAGAATGGGAATCCCAGAACACTTGATTGTGCTAATGCAAAACCTATACGTGGACTGAGAGGCAGTCGTCAGAACAGAGCAAGGAAACACTGCATGGTTCAGAATTAGAAGGGTGTACACCAGGGATGTGTACTGTCTCCATACCTTTTCAATCTATATGCAGAACAGATCACTCAGGAGGTTGCACTTCAAGAGGAGGAATGTGGCGTCAAGACTGGCAGAAGATCCGTCAACAAACTGCGTTATGCAGATGACACCACCCTGCTTGCTGAAACTGAGGAGGACCTGACATGCTTGCTGCTGAAAGTCAGGAACTGCAGCCTTCAACGTGGATTGAAGCTTAACATCAAGAAAACAAGTTTCTCACCACTGAACCAACTGGCAGAATCATGATAGAAAGTAAAGAAATTGAGATTGTTAACAGCTTGTTTGCTTGGCTCCAGAATCAGCACTCTTGATACCAGCAGCCAGGAAATCAAAAGAAACTGCACTGGGAAAATCTGCTGTCAGAGACCTTTCCAGAGTTGTTGTTGTTATTGTTATGTGCCATCGAGTCGCTTGCGACTCATAGCGACCCTATGTACAAGAGCTCTAAACACCGTTCTATCCTGTGCCAACCTCGCCTTCTCAAACGCACTCGTTCCACCACTCCAGTCACAGAATCGATCCATCTCATCGAGGGTCTTCCTCTCTTGCGCCGCCCCTCCACTCTGCCAAATATGATGTCCCTCTCCAAGAACCGGCCCCTCTTTGCAACATGCCCAAAGTATGTCAGATGAAGCCTCAGAATCCATGACTCCAGGGAGCATTCCAACTTCACCTTCTCCAGGACAAACCTGTTTGTTCTCCTAGCAGTCCATGGTATAGTCAATACTCTTCTCTGGCACCACAGCTCAAAGGCATCAATTTTTTTTCTATCATCCCTATTCACTGTCCAACTCTCTGATGCATAGCACGTAATTGTGAAGACTATAGCCTGAATCATGCGCATCTTAGTCTCCAGCCAGACTTCATTGCTCTTCAGTACTCTTGAGAGGTCCCTCACAGCTGACTTTCCCAGTGCAATTCGTCTCCTGATTTCCTGGCTGCTGTTACCAAGAGTGTTGACTGTGGAGCCAAGTAAACTAAAACTGTTTAACTATCTCAATCTCTTCACCACCCATGCTGATGCTGCCAATTGGCCCAGTGGTGAGAATCTTTGTTTTCTTGATGTTGAGCTTCAATACATATAAGAGGATGAAGAGCAAAAATGTCAGTTTGGATACTAAGGTGATCCTGATCCACGTTATGGTCTTCACAATTACTTGCTATGCGTCAGAAAGCTGAACAATGACGAGGGATGATAGAATTGATGCCTTTGAGCTGTGGTGCTGGAGAAGAGTATTGAATATACCACAGACTGCTAGGAGGACAAACAGGTTTGTCCTGGAGAGGGTGAAATCATGTTGCTCCTTGGAGGCAAGGATTCTGTGAAGCTTTGTCTGACATACTTTGGGCATGTTGCAAGGAGGAACCAGTCCTTGGAGAAGGACATCATGCTTGGGAGAGTGGAGAGACAGCACAGGAGGGAAGACCCTGGATGAGATGGATTGACTCAGTGACTGGGGTAATGGGGGTAGGTGTGTCAGAGACAGTAAGGTTGGTTCAGCGTAGACTTGATGGCACATAGCAATAACAACCCCTTCCTGCCTACGGAGCTTTATCCCCAGCTGTTTTACTTTATATGGTTGACTATTTTTAATTTTCTTTTATTCAGTCATTATTGCTCATTCCTCCCCTTTTGTCCCCCCAGTCCACTTTGCAAAGCGTTTCTTGTTCCAGATTGTTGCTGTACATATGATGCCTGATCATATATTCCTTTCAGACAGTTCTTCCCCACATCTGTTCCAATGCAGTGTTCATTATCTATCCACTCTTTTTTCTTTTTTCTTTTATTTTGTGTGCGTGTACCATCAAATCAGATCTGACTGGTACAGGAGGATATTGCGCCTCCTTCTCCGGCAGAGCGTCTGGTGGATTCGAACCGTGTTCCTCTGGGATTGCTGTGCAGCTTCTTGCCACTAGGCCACCAGAGCTCCCCTATCCACTCTTTTTCTATTCTTGCCCTAACCCCTCATGTCAGTCCTGCTTTATAACAGCAGTGTTAGGCAGTACTTGTCCTTTTGTGACTGAGCTATTTCACTCAGCATAATGTCCTCCAGGCTCCCCCATGTTGTATAATGTTTTCCAGGTTCATTGTTTTTCAATGCTGTGTGATACTCCGTTGTGTGAATGTACCATAGTTTTTCTGTCCATTTGTTTATTGATGGGCACTTCCGGTTGCTTCCATCTCTTTGCTCTTGTGAATAACACAGCAATAAGTGGGTGTGCATTCATCTATTTAAGTTGTGACTCTGGTTTCTTTAGGGCATATTCCCAGTAGTGGAATAGCTGGGTCAATGGTGTTTCTATTTCCAACTTTTGAGAAAGCTCTGACTGTCTTCCATAATGGTTGTACCATGGTTAGCTATTCTTAAGGAATGGGTGTTATTGGTTATCTTACAGGATTGTCTAGTCGTTGGTTTAAAGTCGAGCCATGAGGGTGAGTTTTGTTGGTTCAAAGAGTAACTAAGGGCCATTTTCTCAGGGGTTCTGCCAGTGTCTTATTTTGAGTCGTACTTCACATTCTTCCATTCCCTTTTAGAGGAAGGGTTGTTGTTAGGTACTGTTGAGTCAAGTGCAACTCTAGAGTAGAAGCCTCACATTTTAAAAAAATAAAAACAGGTGTGGTTGTTTTCAAGCATCTACTCGCTTTGCCTGGGCCTGGGGTCCTGGCTTCTCCTCAGGTAGCATGACCACGCGTGGCTAGTGTCTGCTGTGTTGGGACAGCACAGAACTAGAGAGGTGGGCGGAGTGGTTGTAATGAGAGAGGAGAGAGGTGCTGTGAGGACGAGGAAGCGGGGGCTTCTCCCCAAGACGCGGAGCCAGCTCTGCAGGCCGAGAAGGAACCAGCCAGGACGAGAGTGTCTCAGGCAGAGGGAACCTCAGGTGCAAAGGTCTTGAGGCTGGAGCCCATTTCACAGGGGGTCCTGGTTGGTGGTCTGACTGGGGTTGTAGGGGGCCAGCAGCAGATTGTCCAGGGTTGGGGAGGGGAGGGTATGGGCTTCCTTCAGGGGGTAGAAAAGGGGAGGGTTTTAAGCAGAGGCCCCCTCCTTCCACAGGCTGGACATCCTGCACCAGGTCGCCATCTGGCAGAAGAACTTCAAGAGAATTGTGAGTACCCTCAGTGGGGCAGGTGAGAGGGGGAGCACTCCACAGGTTGGGGGCCTTACCTTCTCTCCTGAGCTCATCACTGGGGAGTCTCTCTCCAGGCATTTTGAGCACCAGGCCTTGTGCTGTGGGAGTGGACGAGGTAGACACGGGTCCTACCTGCAGGTCTCAGGACTCTGGCCTGAAATCCACTGACAGGGAGTTGTCCCTCCTGCCCTCTCTCCTGAGCACACTTTACCCAGCACCAGAGGGCTCTTGCTGAACGTCCCAGCTCCCCCGGGGCTTTGTGTGACGTCATAACTCCTCGCTTTGCCCTCTGAGGCCCAGGCAGCTGCGGGAAGCGTGCCAGCTCTGATCAGCTGACCTAATCAGAGTCCATTTCCCATTAGCTTGGCCAGCTCCCCTCATCCCTCAGGTGTCTGCGTGGGCCACACCTCTTCCAGGAAGCCCTCCCTGACCCCCTCTTGCCTTCTACATCTCCTTGTACACCCCTTACTGCCTCACAGCGTTTAACCTAAAGTTTACAGTGGGAATTAACCAGTAAAGGGGCAATGGGACAGGGATGGCGATAGAGTGAACAGTACATGCAAAGGCCCTGTGGCAAAGACCACAAGGAGCCCAGTGGGAGGACAGCGAGGGATTTGGATTTTTATGCCAAGAGCATTAAAAAGCTATTATCTCTTGAAAGCCAGCTCTCGACACAAGGGTTTGTAGAAGGGGGGAAAAAAGCTATGACCAGCTCTGCCTTCCCCCGTCCACCCTGAGGTCCGGCGTGTCCTGCTCATTCCCTCCTTGGTCCCACGGCCCTTGGGGTAAAGTCCTCAGCCAGCACTGGAAGCTCCTCAGGACCCCTCCCATTCTCAGTCTATAGGCCCTTCTTTCCTGTGCCCTGGATGCCAGGTGGCAGCGCCCCGTCTTTGTGAGGCTAATGTGTATGTCGGGGGGGACACTCACGCCTCAGTTGCTCTTCTCTCCCCAACACCCAGCCTCAGGTCCAGCCCCCTCTCAGCAGAGCTGGCTGCCCTACTCCTTGCTGTGCCCCTGGGCCTGCTTGAGAACATCTGTAAAGCAGACCCCCTGAGTGCTTTGTGCCCACAGAGCTACGCCAAGACCAAGACGCGGGCCGAGGTCCGGGGAGGTGGCCGGAAGCCCTGGCAGCAGAAGGGCAGTGGGCGTGCCCGGCATGGAAGCATCCGCTCCCCGATCTGGAGAGGAGGTGAGGGCAGGGGGAGGGGCTTGGAGTGGGAGAAGGGGAGTGTCTGGGAGCATCGCGTCACACACACACCCACCCACCCACACTCACAAACCCAAACACCCACACACCCACCCACCCAGCCGCCCCGCTCCCCACTCGGTCCAGCTAAACAGAAACAGATGGCTGAGTGAATCATGCCATGCCTCCTCCAGGAAGCTCGCCCTGATCTCCTCTGGGTCCCCCACAGCCCCTTGCCCTGCTCCTCTGGGCCCCCCACAATCCTCTGCCCTGCTCCTCCGCGCCCTGATTTCCTTGCTGTAGTCCATATCCGCCTTGAAGACACGAGTCTTTCTTTCTTGTCCCCTGCTGCCCTCCTGTGGCCCAGCAGAGCGTGGACACACGAGCAGATAGGCTTCAGTAGGACATCTCCCAACACCAGAGCTCCTCAGACACACTCTACCTCATGTCCCTGGAGTCTGCCTCCCTCTGGACCTGAAGGTTTGAATCTGCTGAGGAGCGAGCGCAGTGGTAACAGCTTGTCCCAGTAACCACAGGACCACACCTGCCATAGTTCATTGTGTCTGGCTTCACAGTTGAACCGGCCAGTGAGACAAAGTCACCTGTCCCTCGTGTCTGCTGAGACCCTCTCCCCTCCATCCCTACTTGAGGCCCTGCCCTCCTTGGTGGCCTTCAGCCTGACCCCTCCCAGTCGCCCCCCAGCCGAGGCCTCCCTGCTCACACCCTCTGTCCCCACAGGCGGTGTGGCCCATGGCCCCAGGGGCCCCACCAGTTACTACTATATGTTGCCCATGAAAGTGCGGGTTCTGGGCCTCAAGGTGGCGCTGACGGTCAAGCTGACCCAGGTACAAGCTGCACCCCAGTCATGTTGGGATCCCCGGGGCATGGGAGCCTGGATGTGGGAGCTCAGACCACCTCATCTTCTTTCCAGGACAATCTGCACATTGTAGACTCCCTGGACCTGCCGACCCCAGACTCCCAGTACCTGACAGAGCTGGCCCACTACCGGCGCTGGGGGGATTCTGTGCTCCTGGTGGACGTGTGAGGGCAGGGACCAGGTGGTAGGGTGGGCAGGGAAGGGGTGAGGGTGCAGTGGGATGGAGAGGGCACAAGGGAGGTGTGTCTGCAGGACTCATCTCCAGCCTTGGTCTCCCAACAGCTCACACGATGATATGCCACAGAATGTGGTGTCAGCCACCTCTGGGCTGAAGACCTTCAACCTGATCCCGGCTGTAGGTGAGCTGCCCAGAGCCTCAGGGGCGTGGCGGCCAGTCCACACCGTCTCCAGCCACACTTGGGCTGAGTGGTCTGGACACCGACCTCCCTCCTTGCCCTTCAGCTCTCCAAACTTGCTTAATTCCTTAATTAAGACCTGCTTCAAGGTTGCCTGGAGGTCAGGTCCTGGCTCTGTGTCTAGGGGTCCAGGTGTGGGGGTGTGCTTTGCAGGGGTAAGGGCAGGCCCCCAGGTCAGTCTGTTCTCACTGGGTCACACCGGTCACTGCACTGGCCTGTCCCAGACTTCATCTCCTGCCTCCCTCCTGGACCTCCCCTCACACACATCCAGTGCTGGGGCCTGGCCCCAGGAACACACCTTCCTGGCCTATGTGTGGTGTCTCCAAACACGTCCAGATCTGATTTCCCACCCAGGTCCAGCTCCCACCGCCTACCTGAGCCCTGAGGTTCCCTCCTCCAGGCCTAGGTTGTCCACCTGCTGTTCTCCCGGCAGCCACCAGAGGGTGACCGCAGCCCTCGCCTCGCTCACGTGGGCCGAGAGTCCACATGGCCGTGGGGGCAGCACCATCTGCCGGCCCCTCCGCACCCCGTGCACCCCCACCGGCCCCTCCCCACCCCGTGCACCCCCACCGGCCCCTCCCCACCCCGTGCACCCCCACCGGCCCTGGTGGGCGGTCTTCTGCGGAGTCGGGGTGTCCACGCGTTCAGTCTCCCTGTCCGCACAGTGACCCCGGGGGCAACAGGGGATGCCCTCAGGACAGTCTCTGCCCCAGGCTGCAGGGCCTCCCCCACTTTACCCTCGGGCTGGTTCGGGGTGGGGGAGCACGCCTGACCACCCCTCTCCCCCCGAACCAGGCCTGAACGTGCACAGCATGCTCAAGCACCACACGCTGGTCCTGACGCTGCGCGCCGCTGCCTTCCTGGAGGAGAAGCTGCTCTGGCACAACTCCCGATACACGCCGCTCTACCCCTTCCGCCTGCCCTACCGCGACTTCCCCTGAGCGCGCCCGCCTGCACCGAGCAGTCTCGAGGCCCTCGGTGCAGGTCTAGGGGGGTCTGGGTGCAGGCTGAGAGGGCTCCGCAGACCCGGGAGCCCAGTGGACCTCTGTGAGGGCAGGAAGAGATGCCCAGACTCGCTAAGCACGTCACAGACTGCTTCATGGAGCCGAATGAGCACATGTCCCGAGAGTTGGGAAAAACAGAAAATGGCTGGCTGCCGTTTTGCTTAGGTGACTAATTGCCTTTGGCAGCGGTACTTCCCTGGTTCCAGGTCCCGCCAGGCCCTTCCTTACTTCCTCAGGGGACTTGCTGTTGGCTTGGAAAGCACCATCTGTGTGTGGAAAACAATTACCGAGAATTAAGTGAGCGCTGAGTCACTGGCTCAGACTCAGGAGTGGGTGCTGGTGGTTCCCAGGAACTGACACCTGGCCTGTCAGCACATCCCGGAAAGGACTCGGGGGCCATACTGTGCCACCCTCAGCAGGACCATGCAGCCCAGAGCCCAGTAATCAGACTCACAGACCTGGGAGTTCATTGAAGGGAAGCCAGTGGGTCCAGTAAATGGCTAATAAATGTGTTCCTGAAAATACCTAATCCAACGTCCTGATTCTTTGATCTGCTATAAATTAATTTTTTTTAATTCTAATAAGAAACCAAGAAAACCCACTACCAACAAGTCAATTCAGATACAACCAACCCTAGGCAAGAGTAGAACTGAGTGAGTCCGCATGCGGTTTCCAAGGCGTCACAGTGTGTGTGTGGGGGGGTGCCCCGGGTGTCCCACCCTTCCATGTTTCTCTTTGGTGATATTGTACAATTCATCTCCTCATGTAGATAGCCTTTCCCTTCATCCTTTTTTTTTTCTTTCTTGTTGTGTACCATCAAATCAGATCCGACTGGCACAGGAGGAGGTTGCCCCTCCTCCAGCAGAGCATCTGGTGGATTCAAACCACGTCCCTCTGGGATTGCAGTGCAGCTTCTTGCCACTAGGCCACCAGAGCTCCCTATCTCCTTAGCTTTTTATAATCGTGCGCTCGTTCAAGATTTCCACGCCTGTAAGTCCCCACGAAAGCAGGCTGCCTCGTCATTCACCTGTGAGACGCTGATGAGTTAAACTTTCAGGGCGTGGTGTGATGTGCTGTCGAATCACCTATGACTCAGAAACCCTGTGAAGAACAGCTCAGAACCCTGCCCGGTCCTGCATCTCCTGCATCATTTTGACCTCTGCATGCTCCAGCCGTTGGCGCACTCACTGTGTCAGTCCAGCCTCTGTGGTTTTCCTCTGTCTGAGCTCCCACCTTTCTTGGGATGATCTCATTTTCTAAGAACTGGCCCTTCCTTGTAACATACCCAGTGTGTGAGACCAAGTTTCACCCTCTTTGCCTCTAGGGAGCGCTAGGGCTGCACTTCCTCCAAGACACGAGTGTATGTGTGTGTGCCGGCGCTTCCTTCCGCAGCCCGTGGGTATTCACGGCTCTTCTCCAACAATACAATTCAAAAGCATTGATTCTTTTTTTATATGAACTAGATTAACTCATTGCAATCAAATCAGAACTGTCTGATAGGTAACACTTTAGTAGGTTTTCAGAGTCTGTAAATTGCAGGAAAGAGATTGACCACCTTTTTTTCTCTTTTCCTGTGACTTTTTAAAAAATTATTAATTTCAATAAAAATTTACAGAGACTTTGGATTTCCATTCCTTCATTGTTGCACTTTACTCCCCTCCAAGCCCTCCCCTCTAGTACACTACCCTCTTGGAAAAGTAAAAGAAAAACTCCTTCATTGTTTTACAGTCCCTTCCACCAGGTCTGCTCCACTATGCAGCCTTCACTCTGGACTCCTATCATGACAAAATACCTAATCACATATCCCTTTTAAACAGTTTTCTCCCTCATCTGTTTCAATGCAGTGTACATTATTGAACCCATCTTTTTCAGTCTCCCCTCAGCCCCGATGTCAGTCTTGTTTTACAACAGTGGCACCATGCAGTATTTGTCCTTTTGTGACTGAGATATTTCATTCAGCATAATGTTCTCCAGGGTCACCCATTTTGAATAATATTGCATGAGTTCCTTGTTTTTCAAGGCAGTGTAGTATTCCATTGTGTGAATATACCACAGCTGCTCTATCCATTTGTATGTTGATGCAACTTCTTGCTATTGTGAACAAAGCCGGGATAAACATGGGTGTGCGTGAAAGCATTGATGCTTCATTTGTCTTCCTTACTCATTGTCCTTTCAGATGCATGTGAAGCAACTGAAAATACTGTTGTATCAGGTGCCCCTTTGTCTTTAAACTGGCATCCTTGCTCTTAGGGAGCTCTAGTGGCTTAGTGGTAAGGAACTGAACGGCCAATGCCAAGGTCCTCAGTTTGAATCCACCAGCTGCTCCATGAGAAAAAGATGGGCAGTCAACTCCTGTAGGATTTACTGCCCCTGGAAACCTGCTGGAGGGCCAGTTATGAGTCAGTCTGACTCTGGTACACACCGCTACCCCCTGGTTTCTTAGCCCTTTCAGGAGGTCCTGGATAGCAGATTTCCCCCCCCCCCGTGCAACACAATTTCTGATTTTTTTTCTTTTTGATGTATTTTTCTAATTAATTTTAAGGAAAGGTTACAGAGAGGGTTGCTAGTCATTCATTGTTGCACTTTTCTCCCTGCCCCCCCCTTCACTCTTCTTGAAAAATGAAAGAAAATCTCATTGTTATGCAGTCCCTCCCCCCAAGTCCACTCCACGGTGCAGCCTTCATTCTGAACTCCTGTCATGACAATAATACCCAATCATATATCCCTTTTAAACAGTAGCTCTCTCCCTCATCTGTTTCAGTGCAGTGTACATTGTTCATCCCCTCCTCTGTCTACCCTCAACTCCAATGTCCATCCTATTTTACAACAGTGGCACTATGCAATATTTGTCCTTTTGTGACTGGGATATTTCACTGAGCATGATGTCCTCCAGGGTCACCCATTTTACATAATATTTCATGAATTCCTTATTTTTCAATGCTGCATAGAATTCCATTGTGTGAATATACCAGAGCTGCTCTATCCATTCGTTTGTTGATGAGCACTTGGGCTGTTTCCAGCTCTTTCCTGTTGTGAACAAAGATGCGATAAATGGGTGTGAGTTTCTGATTTCTTGACTGTTACTCCCATAGATGTTCATTATGGATCCAAGTAAAATTAATTCAGGGTTGGGGGCAGGGAGGAGAACGTGCATCAATGAATGAATCGGAATTCCAAGTTTTGAATCAAAAAATTACCTCAAGGGGAGCTCTGGTGGCCTAGTGGCAAGGAACTGCAACTACAATCCCAGAGGTGCACGGTTCGAACCCACCAGATGCTCTGCCGGGGAAGGAGGGACAATCTCCTCCTGTACCTGTCAGATCTGATTTGATGGTACACACACAAAAAAAGTAATAAAATTTTAAAAAATTGAAAAAATTACTTCACCATTTGCTCCATAATGACATTGCCTACTGGTTCAGTGATGAGGATTTTAGTTTTACATCATTTTTTAAAAATTTTCTTGTTGTGTACCATTGTATCAAATCCAACTGTCATAGAAGGAGATTGCCCCTCCTTCCCCAGCAGAGCATCTGGTGGATTCAAACCACACGCCTTCAGTATTGCAGTGCAGCTTCTTTGCTGCACCCATCCAAGATATACTTATTCATTCTTTTGGCCATCCATGGAATGTTCAGTGCTCTTCCCCACCACCACATCTCAAAGGCATCAATTTTTCTGTCATCCCTATTCATTGTCCAGCTCTCAGATGCATAGCAAGTGATCAGAAAGACCATGGCCTGAATCAGATGCACCTTAGTCCTCACACGGACATCATTACTCCTCAGTAATTTGGAGAGGTCCTTAACTGCAGACTTTCCCAGTACACTATGTCTCCTTATTTCCTGACTGCTGGTACCACGGGTGTTAATTATGGATCCAAGTAAGATGCAGCTGTTGACAGTTTCAATCTCTTCTCCATCCATCATGATATTGACTACTGGTTCAGTGGTAAGAATCTTTGTTTTCTTGACGTTGAGATGCAATCCATACCGAAGGCTGCATCCCTTGATCCTCTGCAGCAATTGTCTCAAGTCCTGCTCCGTTTCAGCAAGCGAGGTGTGTCATCTGCATAGCGCACATTTGATAAAGCTGATTAGTTAGGATGGTAGAACAGGTAATCAGTTGTGGGCTGGAAAGCCTTTTGTGTGACTCAGTGAGTGGGCCTCTGTTTAAAAGTCATGAATCCTGCCAGAGAGTCTCTTGTTTGAAGCAGTTGGATTCTGAAGGGTAAGTTGTCAATTGAATAGTTACAGATAAAGGATACAACTCTTGACACACACCTTTCCTGACTTTGAACCATATGGTGAATGTTGTTAGATCCTGTTGACTGAGTTCAGGAGAACCCATAGCGACCGTATGAACAACAGATCTCTAGATTTATGGAACTCCATCCTATCCTGCGCCATCCTCACACCTCCTGAGTCTCTAGAGCCCATTGCAGCAGTCACCATGTCAGTCCACCTGGTGGAGGGTCTTCCTCTCCTTCCCAACCCTTCACCTCTGCAAGAACAGCCCCTCCTAGCAACCCTGAAGTATGTGAGGCTCCGCCTCATCTTGGCTCCCGAACAGCACTCTAGCTGCACCCTCTCCAAGACCTATTTGTTCTTTTGGCCATCCATGGGATGTTCAGCGCTCTTCTCCAACACCACAGCTCAAAGACATCCATTCTTCTGTCTTCCTTATTCTCTTCCCAGCTCTCAGATGCATAGCAAGTGATGAGAAAGGCCATGGCCTCAATCAGATGCACCTTAGTCCTCAAAAATGACATCATTACTCCTCCGTCATTTGGAGAGGTCTCTGAGTAGTAACTCACGGTGCCCCTAGAGCTCTTCAAGTCATCCGAACAGAATAGAAGATAACACAGTCGACTGAGTCAAAGTTGGCCCCTGACCCCCTTCATGTGCAGGCTCCAGCAAACCAGGTGATCACATCAA